CCCCCCCCCCCCCCCAGCGGCACCCATAGTTCAGCCGTCCAAACTCATGTTTGCCGCTTCTTTGTCACCAGATGAGATGTACGAGATCCTTTCTAACCTGCCTGAGAGCGTGGCATACACGTGCATTAACTGCACGGAGCAGCACCCTGCAGAATGGCGACTGGCATTGGAAAAGGAACTGCAGGTTTCTCTGAAGCAGGTTCTGACAGCCCTGTTAAATTCCAGGACCACAAGTCACTTGCTGCGTTACAGACAGGTGAGCTTGCGACTTGAGAATGAGTCCCATTTTTGCCCTATTCTTGCCGGTGGCTTGCGTTCTGGTTGTGGTTCATGTCTTATTTTGGGTGACTTACTGTACTTGATAAATCATAGTGCACGTGATTTCAGTTTTCTTACTTTTGTAGGTTCCCCGTGAAATACCAAAGATCAGTGACTTTTACAGTGTGCACAATTAGTCGATGATAGATCTCCCTTTTAGAGAGAAGGGCAAATTTGAGATAATCACTGCTGAGGAAGGAGATTTTTGTGCTTGAAGTACTTGCTTGGGAAGTTGTCTGACTTAAGGACAAGAATTGGGATCACCAGTGTTAATTACTTAGCCCCTTTTGTGCAAACAACCTTTTTCCTGCTGTCCATACTAAAAAGTATTAAATTCTTAAAAATAAAATAAAAATTGTTGTATGTGAGATGGATTCCTAATGCCTGCTTCTAAGAAGTTGGGGCTTGTTGTCACCTCTTGGGTTCAGTTCAAAAACTGTTCACAGTCACTTGAAGCTCTGCAGCCGACTTGCATTCCTGTTCAACGCCAGTATGTGTCTGTTTTTGCCTGGTTCTTTGGCAATCTTCCTTTTGTGCATAATATTGTTCGGCTGTGTTTTAAAGAAGTGAAAGGATAATGAAATATCAGAGCTTCTAATGTATGCTCATTTTCTTACTTCAAGTGATAGTTCTGGGACTGCATTACAGCCAGGTAGAAATTAAGTCTCCTGAGTTGTATCCCTACTCGGCTACCCGCTCAGCGTGTCGTCCAAGGTGCGGCTCTTCACCATGCGTTGCCCCTTTTTGTCCTTCTGTAAAATGGAGTGCACCCTACCACACAGGATACTGCTTTGAAGAGTGACATTATGCCAGCAAAAATATTTCATAAATTTTCATAGATTTCATAGGCATTAGGGCTGGAAGGGTCCTCGTAAGATCGTCAGGTCCAGCCCCCTGCCCAAGGGGCAGCAAGTCAGCTAGGGTCAAAGCATCCCAGCAAGATAAGCATTCAGGTGTTTCTTGGAAGTGTCCAGAGTAGGTGCTTGCACCATCTCTGGAAGAAGGCTATTCCAGGCCTTGGGAGCTCGGACAGTAAAGAAGCTTTTCCTTATGTCCAGCCTGAAACAGTCCTGGAGGAGCTTGTGACGGTTGGACCTTGTCATCCCCTGGGGTGCTCTGGTGGATGCTTTTGTCGTTCCTTGGGGTGCTCTGGCCAAATGCTCAAACATTTGGATGCTTATTTGAAGGCTGTGGTGTTCAGTGGCACGGTTTTGTGTGGTCAGATTTCTAAAGAATCTGAAGAACTGATCCGATTGTTGTAAACTTATCCGTGACTTGCATGTCTGCAGCAGAATAGGTGAAGACTTTTGTTTCTGATGCACACAGCAGGCTCCTGTCTTAAGTAGTTGGTCAATATTAGGCACTGCCCAGGAAGAGATGAGAAGCAGGAAGATGTGTGAGCCGGGAAAAACCTTTGGACTATACTGGTGAAATAGCAAGGAAAATCGCTGTTACAGCACATCTGTTTAGCTCGGCATCGATTAATTTTGTTGTTTACAAAAAAAAAAAAGAGGACACGTGTTTCCCAGGGTTAGAGGCCAGCACCAGTAAGCTGGTAAAAATCTTAAGGTTCTTTTGTTTGGTTTTTTTGGAGGTGAGCTCAGAAGTTTGCCCATTGAACCTCTTGTATTTTAGACTAATGTCATCCACATCTGTGCAGAGGAAAAGTGTGTTCAAGTGTGAAGTTACTCATTAAAGGCAGAATGTTGTCCTCTTCTGTTTGTTAACAGGCAGCCAAACCACCTGATTTAAATCCTGAGACAGAAGAGAGCATACCGTCCAGAAGTTCTCCTGAAGGCCCCGACCCTCCTGTCCTAACAGAGGTCAGCAAACAGGAAGAGCAGCAGCCTCTGGACCTAGAAGGAGTAAAAAGAAAAATGGATCAAGGGGGTTACACTTCTGTGGTACGTAACCTCATTCGTCTTACAGCGGCTCAGTTGTAAACCCCACGTGTTATAAAATAGTTGGTTACATGCTGAAGTCTTGTCTTGTGAAGAGGGGGTCTGGGTTTACAAGCAGTAGTTTCAGTGCTACCACCAGCCTGCCATTAAAGATATTCCTTTCATTATTTTGTTGTCAGTTCTTCTCCGCTGAGCCGGTATTTTAGCCAAAGTAACTACAGATCGTGTGAAAAGTCTGTACCAAAGGCTGAGGAGCTGGGGAGAGGTTATGGCAAATGTGCCTTATCAATTAAGTTGCACGGCCAGTTAATTTGAGAATTGGCCAAACTGTTTGAGGTATAAGCAGTGTAGGGCTCTGGATGATGAAGAGCAGTATTTTAGTTAGTTGCAGGGGGTTTGCATGTAGGCTAAGCATAGGGGGTGGCCCAAGTATGTGGAAGAGTAATTTGCTGATATGACAGACGTGTATGTTTTCTCGCAGTTGGAATTCAGTGATGATATTGTGAAGATTATTCAAGCGGCCATTAATTCAGATGGAGGGCAGCCAGAAATTAAAAAAGCCAACAGCATGGTCAAGTCCTTCTTTATTCGGGTGAGCAAGATGACAGTTAATTTTTAAATGGTGTATTATGTCATAGACATGGTAAAAAACAAAAAAAAACAAAAAAACAAAAAAAAAACACACTTTCAGTCCCTAATTTCTGATGGTTCTGGCCCTTTATGGTGCCTTTGGGTTCAGTGTACTCCTGAGCATTTAGCATTGCTTGGCTGTCTCTGGAAAAAAAGTAAAAGACTTTGGCAGTTTTCTTAAGGTTAAGAGTTTATTCCGACTAGCCTAAAATCTACACATCTGCAGTGGATCTTGGATAAATGTCTTTGCCCTTTTTATGTATGTTTTGTAACATTTCTAATCGAGTGTTGTTTTACCTTCAGCAAATGGAGCGTGTTTTTCCATGGTTCAGTGTAAAAAAGTCCAGGTTTTGGGAGCCAAATAAAGTAACAAGCAAGTAAGTAACTCTTCTATAACAAGTAGCAGTACCTGCAGTGATTGGCAGCTGTTCAGACAAAAAAAAAAAAAAAAAATGAGGTTCTGCTACTGCTAATTAAAACAGTAAGCAGATTCCTGTGCTCATGCATGTTTTGCGTTTCTGAAACGGAGGGAGTTAAAAGCAGGATCTGAAACCTGGTGTAGAGGGTGTTGGCTATTTGTGAGCCAGTCTCTGTCTAGCATTGCTTGCATTCTGGTTATAGATTATCTCAAAGGACACCGCAGCACAAGCCTTGAAGCATGACTGACAGGGTGCAATGCCTGCTTGAGAAGTTAGAATTTGTACGAATGTGGAAGTGAACAGTTCTGGATGCTGAATGTGGATGTGCTAGTTGGCAGTTCCCGGATGTATCCAGGCTTCACAGTTGACTTGTTTTATTTCTAGCAGCGGGATGCTGCCAAATGCAGTGCTTCCCCCTTCGCTTGACCATAACTACGCTCAGTGGCAGGAGCGTGAGGAGCACAATCGCACTGAACAGCCCCCTTTGATGAAGAAAATTATTCCTGCTCCAAAACCCAAAGGGCCTGGAGAACCAGATTCACCAACTCCTCTGCATCCTCCTACACCACCTATCTCTAGTAAGAAAACAGCTTCTGCCAGAGTTGGCCCTAAACCCATCATGTCACTTGGGTACCCAAGACAGGTCTTTATTAATTCTCCAGAGCAATTTGGATGCACTTATTCCTTTGGGCAATCTTTAAATGGTTCCATGGTGTCTTGTTAATCTAGAGTTTACCAAGTCAGTCGGGATATGTGGAGCTTTGACAGAGCTACTTGAGCTACACCCGGGGTCCCCTTCAGATCTGTTCAGATGCACTGGGCACAAAAGCATATGAGAAAAAGGCAGCAGAACAGGCTGCAGAGGCGGGAGGCAGGGACAGGATATGGCAGGCAGCATGAAGCTGCAGATTTTGGATGGAGACAGGAGCAGGGAATCCTTTAGGGGTAGTTTGGAGCTGCAAGGCTAGAGACCCAAAATGGGAGCACGGGAAGTTCTGGTGAGTGGTGCGGGGCAGGGAGCGGGGCAAAATTCTGGAGTGGGTCTGACAGAAGAACCAGCTTGCCGGGTGGCAATAAGTTGTCTTCCTGTTGCACATGGATCCTCCCCCCTTTTCTTTTTAAAGCCCATGGAGGAGGAAGAGGTTGAGGAAATGTTGCTTGCCCTGTGGGCGTCTTGCCTCTCCACTGGTCCTTTCTTCTGTCTCTCTTCTGGGTCAGGAAGAGAAAAAACAGAAGAAAGGAAGTTATCCTGAACTGTTAGTTTGTTGGGATTTCTTCTGCCAAGCTTGAGCCCAGGAACGTTGTACGTAACTGTCCCTTCTCCCCAGGCAGAGCTCTTGTAGGCTGTACAGTTTGCCTGACTGAAGTTTCAAAACTTCAGGCTGGTATTTGAAACTGTGTAGGCTGCTCTTTGACTCTTCTACACTTGTGCATTTAAGACTTGTAAACTGAGAAGTCTTCTAGATAAATATTTCCCTCCCCAGCCTTTTCTCTTTAAAGACCAGTTGCCAGGAATAAACAACATTCTTTCTTTTGGCTGTAAGGCTCTGATAGAAGCAGGGAGGATAGTCCTGAACTTAATCCACCTCCTGATGTGGAAGACAACCGGCAGTGCGCACTCTGTCTGAAGTATGGCGATGATAGTGCTAATGTAAGTACCTAGCATACGTGCCCCTACAGGCTATGTGATGGGAACAACATTTAACAGCGGATTTTGCTTTGAACCTGGAAGCGCAATACAAGCAAGTGATTGAAGTTCTCTTTGCTTGCAATCCGATATTAAAGTACTGTAGCTTATATTAAGAGAAAAATAATTATGTATTTTGCTCTGGTGTTGGATGTACTGTGGTTCTAATGTCAACATTTCCCCTTGGCAGTAAGAGAGAGATTGCTGCTGTGATAGGAGCTCGTCGTATAACATATGAGGAGAAAGTCTTAAGGAGGTGCACAGATTTTGGATGAAGTGACTGATAATAGTGGGAGGCACAGGAAAAACCTGTAGGGACAGAAGTTTAATTTCCCTCCTTCATAGAGCATGTTGCAGATTGTGGAACATGTGACCAAGAGGACTCGACCTTTTAAGTTCTCTTTAGTTTGGGTCCCTTTTTTAAACTTTGAGATTTACTGCTAATTTGCTAGACTTCATTTTTGGGTGGTCTTAAGTCCAGTGAACTCCTGAAATCTTTGTGCGTTGCTGTGCACTACAGAACCTTTGAACAGACTCTCTGTTGCCTGCTGTTCTTTAGGATGCTGGACGTCTCCTCTACATTGGCCAGAATGAGTGGACACATGTGAACTGTGCTCTATGGTCAGCAGAAGTGTTTGAAGATGATGATGGGTCTCTGAAAAATGTACACATGGCGGTGATCAGGGGAAAACAGTTGGTGGGTATAAGCGAACGGTGCTTAATTAGAGTTGAGGAGATGTAGTGTTCAGATTTGAGGCCTGGCTGAAGGATATTTTGTGCGTGTCTCCTTCTATTATTCATCTGGTTGCTTCTTTTATTGTCTGTAATACAAAGAATAACTTCCCAACGTTTTCACTAAGCTAACTGAAAGCATAGGAAAGCTTACTTTTTCTTTCTGAGTCGCTGTAAACTCGTAGTGCAAAAAATAGGGGAAACCAAAAGGTGCTTGTAATGGGAGTGTGTGGGAGTAACACTTTGTGGACTGAGAATTTTTTTTTTTCCCCAAGGGAATCTCTCACTAACAGATTCTCTGACTGGAGCAATTTAGACACCATAGTTTTATTTTAAAAATACCCATACTTTTGACACGTCTTGATGCTTACGTGCTGCACCGAAAATGTATAAGGTGTGCAATGGTGCAGTAAAGAATTAGGACTTTCTGGGTTGTCTGTTTGATTTGATGACACTAGTGAGACTTGGATGAGAGGCAGGGTCTGTTCCTAGATGAAAATTCCAGGTTAGCTGTTTTAGTTGAGAATAAACAACAGCTGAGCCCAGAAGGATGCTCAGAAAACCAAGTACTGATTAATTATTTTAACGTCTTCCTTTCATGCACTTATCGCTTTAAACATTGGAAAACATTAAATAGTTGCATATAATTTTCTGCTCCAATTCCTAGTGGTCATGGAAGATAGTTAATCTTGTAGTAAATCAGTGGTTGCTTCTTCCTGGAAGAAGGGAAGTGGGAATGGAGGCACTTTGTACAAACTACATTGTGAGACCAGTCTGGCCAAACTTTGGCCATAAATATTGGTATGCATCAATGGTGCGCAAGCAGTCTAGTTGGGACAGATTGGTCAGCAGTAGGACTGTCATGAATAATCCAGTGCAGTAGCAGTAGCTGCTCTTGGCAAGGTAGCTGTGTGCAGATCTGTGCAAGCTTCGCTGGTGAATACCTCTGCTCATTGTAAAGGATGAGCAGGATGGCCTTTGTGGGTTTTGGAGGAGTCTGAATTTACCTAGAAGCATTTGCTTCCTTCTCTCCATCCCTACCCCCCGCTTCCTACTCTGAGGTTTCTGGGTGTGAACCTATGTCAATGAACAGTTGACTTAACCAACATGACCAGGAGTTGGGTCAGGACTCTGAACCCTTCTTCATTCTTTAAAAAAAATGAATTGATGGTGGCTGATTTTTTTTTAAGAGCTCGTTTAGAAACCTTCTAAAATTCCTGTTTTTTGGCTCTGCAGAGATGTGAGTTTTGCCAAAAGTCAGGCGCCACAGTGGGCTGCTGCCTTACTTCCTGCACTAGCAACTATCACTTCATGTGCTCCCGAGCCAAAAACTGCGTCTTTCTGGATGATAAGAAAGTCTACTGCCAGCGACACCGCGACTTGATCAAAGGGGAGGTAAGATCATTGCCAGACGCCCTTCTTTGTCTGTAGGTGCTTTTGCTTCTTAAAAGATGAATCGCAATGGTTTCTTCATGGGTGAGGGCCTGGCAGGACTAGTGGGGAAGGGTAACTAGTGATGGCTAACCACACTGGGCAGACCAAATCAAGTGTTCGTTGAGAGAAGCTATCTGGACTATACCCAACGTGTGTTTGTGTGTCGTGTTGTGTTGTTTGTTTGAATTAACACATCACTGATGGGTTCTTGTTTCAGGTGGTGCCAGAGAATGGGTTTGAGGTTCTTAGAAGAGTTTTTGTGGATTTTGAAGGGATCAGTTTGAGAAGGAAATTTCTTAGTGGCCTGGAGCCAGAGAACATCCACATGATGATTGGTAATGTCTGGGTCTTAGCTGTTCTAATTCCTAATGCAGGAGTCTGGTGTCTGCTCTCTCATGGAAACCTTCTGGTCCTTTCTGTTTTAGGTTCAATGACGATAGACTGTTTGGGAATTCTGAACGATCTCTCAGACTGCGAAGACAAGTTGTTTCCCATTGGCTATCAGTAAGTACAAGTGGTTTCATGATCAGGTAGACTTAGGTCTTTGTTGTGGGAAACTTCCACTGAACTTGACTGAGGTTTCTTTGAGTAAAGCTCATTAAGGACCTTGGGATTAGGCTGAGTACGCACCAAGTGAAAGAGGAAGCATTTAGAGCTGCTGAGGAAAGCATAGAGGCTGTCTTCCAGGCTAGTGGAAATACTCATTATACATTTTTTAAAAACCTTTTCCAGGTGTTCTAGGGTGTACTGGAGCACAACGGATGCTCGGAAACGCTGTGTGTATACGTGCAAGATAGTGGAATGTCGCCCTCCTGTCGTAGAGCCAGATATCAATAGCACTGTAGAGCATGATGAGAACAGGACAATTGCTCACAGTCCAGCACCACTAACAGGCAAGTCCCTTAAGATACCTTTTAATGGCAGGCCATCATTCAGTGTATCGTGTTTGCAGCTAAATGGCTTGTGACCTTGAGGTTGCATTCTCTGTAGTAAGCTTGGGACCTTCTTAATTTTCAGATAGTCCTATTTCAGATAGGAGTGGATGCACAAATCACTTGTTTTTACAGTTATGTGACCTATATCTTGGGATTTTTTTAAAATTATTTATAACTCTCACGGTTGCATAGGTAACTTTTGAAATCTTGAACCCAGTATAAGGGGCTACAGTAGTGCCTTTGTTTGCAGTAATAGTACTGCTGGACTAGTACTGCCAAATTGTGAACTGTTCCATTTGTCTTGGGCTCTTATCTCTAAAAACCAAAACTGCTTTAAATATCAGTGTTACAAATGTCACTGCTGTTCATTTTAGCAGAAACAGCAAAATATTGTAGCCTCCTCCATGGTTCTAAAATATTTCCCAGAAGGCTACACGCGCTGCAAGTCTCAATTATTCCCCTCTGGAACCTCCACCATCATCTCTTGGCAGCTTTTACAATACAGTTGTATTTTGTCAATGGACCGTATTTACAACTACTTAAAACTGAACATACCTAATGGGAAGTTACATGATTCATTTCTTATATATTTGATTCCTAATCAACAAATGACCACATATCTATTTTGGGCACCTTGAGCAAAAGCAAACCAACTGAAGCAGTTAATGTACCAACAGTCCTCAGCAAAACTCCCCTTTTCCCTGGGCTGCTCCCTGTCCCGAAGTCAGCGATTTTTTTTTTTTTTTTAAGATAGAGCACCTTGGCTGTTCTGGCCTAAAATGGGGAGGGTGAGCTCTAAGACAGTGGGCCCCTCACTGAGAACACTGTATTGTCTCAGTGCTCCCATTCAAGTGCCTCTGCTGATCATACCTCTAGTAGTATTTCTGGAAAGGAGAAAATCTCACAAGTAGGCAGGGCTTTTAAGCCAGTTAGGGCTTTATTGGTCCAAATAGCAATTAAAATTCTCCAATTTTTAATTTAAATGCAGATGCTATAGAGTTTCAAGTCTGCTGCATAAGACTGGCACAGAATCCTTTGGGCCTTGCTCCAGAATTTAAGTTCACGTTTCTGAGGAGTACATGGGGACTTTGATTATAATGCAAATCTTTTAATGGACATGGAAGAGGATGTAGGAGATTGAATCAGGAGATTCATTTATTAGTAATTACCATTGGTGCTGGTGGAGCTTTAGAGATGCATAGAAAGATGAGATCATTGTCTCAGAAGCAGCGTGTGGGTTAATAGTGAAGCTGCCACATAATTTGTTCATAGCTTTGTTCACTGAGATTTTTGGTTCAAAGGTTTCAGTAGAAGGAGCTTATTTACACGGAAGAAGGTGGGCTTTTGCTCTCTTATGGGTCGTGCAAAATAACAGTATTTTTATATTTTGCTTGGCAAGTGTGCTTTGATTTCCTTGAGGAAAGGTTGTTGTAGATGCTCCAGCAGACCTCAGCTTTTAATGGTGACTGTTTTATGTTCTGTTAAAATCTTGTTCTGCAGTGGAAACTCCACCCAAAGAGAATCGAAATACACCAGAAATTGTAAACCCTCCGTCGCCAGATCGCCCCCAGCATTCTCAGACCTCCAGTTCCTGTTACTATCCTATGATATCGAAGGGTGGCAGGATCAGGACTCCAAGCTATCCCTCAACGCAGCGGTCTCCTGGGTCTAGGCCTTTGCCCTCTGCAGGTATTAGGTTGATTTTTCTTCCATTGCTTCTGCATGCATTATGCTCTGGCTTTTAGAAATTCTTATAGTTCTTTGGTACCAGGTTGACTGTAGAAAAGGTTGTGAAAAGTGAGAGTGGATTTGGGGTAAGAAAAGATGTTCTGGGGGCAGACAGCATAAATTACCTTTCAGGGGGGTGAGGGGGGGAAGAGATGCACCCTTCTTTAGTCCATAAGGTGCAAATCTACCCTATCTTCTACCTTAACTGTAGACAGGCTGTCATTTCTCCTTGCATCAGTCATTCCTCACTTGATAACTGTTGGAATAATGTTTCACAAAATTAAGGTAATTAATAAGTCCTATAAAAATGTTTTGAAATCTTTTTGATGGAACTCATAGAAACGCAACTTCTGAAAAAGAAATCAGACTTATTGATCTTTTTTTTCCCAAAGTTAGCTGAAATCTTGTACGGCGTCGTTCCAAGGTCCTTTTCAGATAAAAGCAAAGATATTAGCCCCCTTTAATCGTCACAAAATTAGGATATCCTGCCATGCTGTTATCATGTTTTCAGAATTAGGTTTTAAGTTTTCAGGGACCGTATATTGTAGACAACCGTCAATCCTCTGACTAGGTACAAGAGGCCCAGTCAGGTGTCTGATGAATCTGCTTGTACTGAATCCTGTGGCCATGACACCAAAGCCTTTGGTACGCGTGTCTGGGCAAGAGTGTGGAGGAGTGGAGGCTGCCCTAGATCTACCGTCCCCCCAAAGGCCAGAGCGAGTCCAGACATTCATTGCCTTGATGGTTGTCGTGTCTACCAGAGAGCAACAGAGGAGAACTGTTGCTGACTGCCTAACGCGTTTCTGTCAGGGTGATGTCCCTTAGCCTTTCTCCAACTAACGAGTACCCACAAGGCAGGGAGGTCTGGGGTTTTGAGGCACCCTATACTTGCCGTACTCTGGAGGCTGTAACATTGTGGGTTTCATAAGAGCCACCCTGCCGCAAGTACCCCCACCACGGGCCACCAGTTGGATTTAGTTTACAGTCATAGCCAGGAACAAAATATAGTGTAGCATTAAATCCTACAAAGTTTAATTCGGAAGCTGTGAGTGTTGACATTGAGAAATTTTGAGCTGTCAGCTTTGCATAGGGGATGTGTATACAAAGGGTCTGATGTGGGGGGTGGGTATTTCTTCATTCTAATTTTTTACAGAGCTTACCTAAATCTTTTGTTAGTTGTATTTCTTGGCATGTCTGGCTCTGTATTAGACTGAGTGACCTGTATGTGCTGGTCATGTGAAATTCACTGTTTTACTCTTTCCTCTTCAGGGAGTCCTACACCAATGACCCATGAGATTGTAACAGTGGGGGATCCTTTACTGTCCTCTGGACTTAGAAGCATTGGCTCTAGGAGGCACAGTACTTCCTCTTTGTCACAGCAGCAGTCCAAACTCCGAATGATTTCCCCCACCAGAGCTGGGAATACTTACTCCAGACACAGTGTGTCTTCGGTATCTAGCATTGGGTCCTCCTCTGAGCGTGAACTGCATGCAAAAAATACAGACCACTTCACAGGGTCAGTGAATTCAAGTACTCCAAGTACTCTAGTTCAAAGTAGTCCTGCTACTTCTAGCTCCCAGAGAATAGTACCTACAAGTGGAAGTAAAACTTGTCACTTGGATGGATCTCAGTCTTCAGAAATAAAACACACCAGTGGCTCAGACTTGATGCCTAAAACTGTGTCTTCAAAAGGAGAGAAGACAAAAATTTTGAGCTCAAAGGACTCTGATTCTTCAGCTCATAGTTCTGCTTCTGCAGGAAATGCTAAGATGTCCACTCCAGCACACAGCTCCTCAGGCATAGAGTTAAACATTAATAAAGCAGGAACTTTTCAAGAGCCTTCTTCAGGAACATTTTCTGCCAAAGAGACCATGTCCTTTCCATCTTTACATCAGAGAGGCCAAAGGAAAGAGCGAGATCCGCATACAGAACCTGTGCAACTAGAGAAAACTCTGTCAGTCGAAGACACCGATGCAAAGAGCGTGAAGGTGGCGGGAGCGAATAGCAGATCTTCTGCAGCAAGTGAGCAGGTAGCTTCAGCCTGCAGAGAGAAACGACAGAAAGGGAAAAAATTGATGAAAGACGCTTTCAAAGAGAAACATTCCGTTAAATCTTTTCCAGACTCGAGTCAAGCAACAGCCAGTGATGAAGGAAGCCTAAAACCAGACTTCAACCAGGCTTTGGCAAATGAACAAATTAGTCAGAGGTTGTGTAATAACGTTTCAGCTGACAAAACTGGGGAGACTGCACCTGCACAAGGCAACTCTAAAGCTCCTCTGGTGCAGGTTGAAGTGGCCTCAAAGGACAGTCAGGCTCCTAGAAAACGCACGGTTAAAGTCACCCTCACTCCTCTCAAGATGGAAAGTGAAAGCCAATCTAAAAATGCACGAAAAGAAAGCGATTCTGAATCTCAGTCTAAGGGCACAGAACCAGCTGCTTTGGCAGAGCAGTCTTCAGCGTCGGAAACCCCAGGAGACAGCCCTGCGGTTCAGGCAAGTCCCAGCGATGCCCCGGCACAGGAATCTCAAAATAATTCTTACGAGACTTTGCCTGTCCAGGATAGAAACCTGATTCTTCAGGATGGAACAAAAGCTCAAGAAGACGGCTCCTATAAGCGGAGGTATCCTCGAAGGAGCGCTCGGGCCAGGTCTAACATGTTCTTTGGACTGACCCCTTTGTATGGTGTGAGATCTTATGGAGAGGAAGACATTCCTTTCTACAGCAACTCGACTGGGAAGAAGCGGGGAAAGAGGTCTGCAGAAGGACAGGTAGATGGGGCAGACGACCTGAGTACTTCAGATGAGGATGACTTGTACTATTACAATTTTACTAGGACAGTGGTTTCCTCCAGTGCAGAAGAGAGGCTTGGATCCCATAATTTATTCAGAGAGGAGGAGCAGTGTGATCTTCCAAAAATCTCCCAGCTAGATGGTGTGGATGATGGAACAGAAAGTGATACGAGTGTTGCAGCAACAACAAGAAAAGTAAATCAGGTGACTAAAAGAAATGGGAAAGAAAATGGAACGGAAAACTTAAAGCTTGATCGAACAGAAGAAACTGGAGAGAAAGTACAAGTCACCAAGAGCTCTGCTGGCCACAAAACGGATCCAAAGATAGATAATTGCCACCCTGTAAGCAGAGTTAAAGCGCAGGGCCAGGATTCCCTGGAAGCTCAGCTGAGCTCCTTGGATACAGGCCGCAGAGCTCATGCTAGCACGCCCTCCGATAAGAATTTACTGGATACTTTTAACACAGAACTGCTGAAGTCAGACTCCGACAACAACAACAGCGATGACTGCGGAAACATTCTCCCTTCAGACATCATGGACTTTGTGTTAAAGAATACACCGTCTATGCAGGCTTTAGGAGAAAGTCCAGAGTCGTCTTCATCTGAACTTCTAACGCTGGGGGAAGGGCTAGGTCTCGATAGCAATCGTGGCAAGGACATGGGCTTGTTCGAAGTCTTTTCTCAACAGTTGCCGACTGCTGAACCAGTGGATAGTAGCGTTTCTTCTTCTATATCAGCAGAGGAACAGTTTGAGTTGCCTTTAGAACTTCCTTCTGATCTCTCTGTTCTCACTACTCGCAGTCCTACTGTGCCCAGTCAAAATCACAATAGGCTCGCTGTAATTTCAGAGCCTTCGCTCTCGTCTTCGGGGGAGAGGTCTATCCTCGCTTTGCCTTCCGCGGAGTCTGGGGAAAAGAGAGTTACGGTCACAGAAAAATCTGCCTCCAGTGAAGGAGATGCAGCTCTGTTAAGCCCAGGAGTAGACCCAAGCCCTGAAGGACACATGACTCCTGATCATTTTATCCAGGGTCACATAGATGCAGAGCATATTGCCAGCCCTCCCTGTGGCCCAGTGGAACAAGGACACGGCAGCAACCAGGACTTAACCAGGAACAGCGGGACCCCTGGTATTCAGGTGCCAGTGTCTCCTACTGTTCCTCTGCCAAATCAGAAGTATGTTCCCAATTCCACTGACAGTCCTGGTCCATCACAGATTTCCAATGCTGCAGTACAGACCACCCCACCCCACTTAAAACCAGCCACTGAAAAGCTTCTTGTAGTCAATCAGAATATGCAGCCGCTGTATGTCCTCCAGACTCTTCCCAATGGTGTTACACAAAAAATACAACTGACACCTTCTGTCAGCTCTGCACAGAGCGTGATGGAGACCAGTGCGTCAGTGCTGGGGCCCATGGGAAGTGGGCTTACTTTGACTACGGGATTAAATCCCAGTCTACCGTCATCTCAGTCTCTCTTTCCACCCACTAGCAAAGGGCTGCTGCCTATGTCTCATCACCAGCATTTACATCCGTTCCCCACTGCCACTCAGAGCAGTTTCCCCCCAAATATTGGCAATCCTACATCAAGTCTCCTTATTGGTGTACAGCCACCCCCTGATCCGCAGCTTTTAGTGTCTGAAGCAAACCAGAGGACAGATCTTGGCACGGCAGCTTCTACGCCAGCTTCTGGCCTTAGTAAGAAAAGGCCAATATCCCGTCTGCAGTCACGGAAGAACAAAAAGCTGGCTCCCTCTGGAACCACATCTGCCATAGCCTCTTCTGATATGGTCTCCAACATGACTTTGATTAATTTTGCTCCCTCCCAACTGTCCAACCACCCGTTAGATTTGGGAACCCTTGGAAATTCAACATCCCATAGAACTGTTCCTAACATAATCAAAAGATCTAAATCTGGAGTCATGTATTTTGAGCAAACATCTTTGCTGCCACAGAGCGTAGGAGCAGCCACTGCTGCTGCAGCAGTTGGCACTTCTCCCAGTGTTATTGGACCAGATACCAGCCACCTCGCAGCAGGGCCAGTGTCAGGACTGGCATCAAGTTCATCAGTACTGAATGTAGTGTCCATGCAGGCCACAGCAGCTCCCGCCAGCGGTGGGTCAGTACCTGGCCACGTTCTGGGACAAGGTTCGGTAACATTAACGAGCCCTGGGTTGCTGGGAGACCTTGGGTCAATAAGCAATCTCTTGATCAAAGCCAGTCAGCAAAGCCTTGGTCTTCAGGAGCAGCACATGGCTTTGCCACCAGGCTCTGGGATGTTTTCACAACTGGGGACATCACAAACTCCATCCACAGCAGCAATGACAGCTGCATCAAGCATATGTGTGCTGCCTTCAGCACAGACTTTGGGCATGACAGTTGCTCCATCATCCACAGACCCAGAAGGCTCTTATCAGCTTCAGCATATGACACAGCTTTTAGCTAGCAAAACTGGGATTGCCTCCTCCCAGCTGGACCTCAGCTCTGCGTCTGCAACTCAGTTGTCGAGCTTTCCGCAGCTGGTGGACATGCCTAACAGCACAGGACTTGAGCAAAACCAGGTTTCCACATCTGTGATGCATGCCAGTTCAGCGTCTCCGGGAGGCTCCCCATCATCTGGCCAGCAGTCTGCGAGTAGCTCAGTGCTTGGCCTCACAAAAACAAAGCCAAAAATCAAGCGAATTCAACCATCCTTAGACAAAGGAAATGGAAAGAAGCACAAAACTTCTCACATGTGGACCAGTTCCTCTGAAGTACACATTCCAGACAGAGGGACCAATGACATATCACAGGTCTCAGCTACAGGGTAAGAAAAATGCTGGTTTTGTTTTATTTTTGAAGTAGCAAGAGGATTCTTTGATGTAGAAGCAGAAAAAGTTGGCTTTCCCTGTGTGGTTCTTGTGTCACAAGTTTCTCTCTTGGCTTCTCTTAGTAAATCCTTCAGTAGTAGTAGTTTCTAGTGTGCAGTCTGCCATGAATAGGAAAAGGGATGTCTAAAGAAATCAGCGCTAGGACTTTGCCAGGCAGAACTCCTAAGACATCCAAGATTTGAAGTCCATGGTTAGCCCTGACAATATATTATTCTTGATTTGATGGTGCTTTATTTGAGAGGAAGGAAGTTTGCCATAAGCTCTTTGCAGACCAGGAAGAGCTAGCAGTCTAGCCATTGCTGCAGCAGCACCTGTTGTACCACCCAGCTTGAGAACCACGGTTCTAGGATGTTGTTTTAAGAAGCCCTGGGCTGCTGAGCATACCTGCTTCTTGGAGTAAACTACGTGGCTGAGTCTCTAGCCCCTTGGGGTCCTATAGGAGATCCCACGGTACTTCTTGCAAGTGTAGGAGTGTTGCAGCATCCCAGCTGAACCCATTAGGAATATTGCATCCTGCTTTCCTGAATTCTTTTGCCCTTTCAAATGGATGTGGGATTAGTTACACCCTTAACTGCTGGGTAGTGTTGGTCTTTGCTGGAAAATTAGTGCCATGTTTTGTGTAGAAATGTCTGTTCTCAGTGGCAGTCAGTGGTCTCCAAAAATAGAATTGTAAAATGTTTAAGATTCTTTCGGTGCTATTGTTCTGTCCTCCTATTTTCCGTCTCTCACGAACATCAACTGAAAACAATGCAATGTAAGTGTAGTGCTCTTTGTAGGAAAGTCGCTGCAGTATTTTGGTACCTAACTGAACTGCTGAAGGTACATTTAGGCACCAAGAGATGTGGATTAAGATTTTTTTTTTTTTTTATTTAACAGCTTTAAGCTGTAGTCCCCACATGCTGGCAATGGGGTACTAAGCAGACAAGTGCATGCACGAGGCTTGTCATCAAGGCCGCCAGAAATGCAGTGCGATCCCGTAATTCTTGGGAGCTGCTCAAAAGAACTGTTGGTGTTAGTGCTACTGAATGCCTCTCTTACCCTGATCAGTTAGCGGCTGCAGGCACGTGTAACAGTTGAAATGTTCCAGAATGTCACTAACTGGCAACCAGGTCTCAATTTTTGTGTGTGTCCATGCCTTTAATTTTCAGTGTCATACAGTTGATCTGTTTTGAAGAGCAGTTGATCCAGAATTTATAAAGAAAGGGAACTTAGAACTAAAAAAACTTGCTTTTCTTCCCATAATCAGTCTTCATCCATATTATCCAGTTAAGCATTGTTGGTAGCTGTGCCAATATATAATCGTGAATGCAGTAGTCACCCCTTGGCTTTATGCATGTGGCTATTCATTGTGCTTGTATCTCGTCCTGTCCTGCCAGCACTGCATTTTTGAAGCACAGGTCTTGAGTTTTGCTCTAAAACCCTAGAATGTGATCTGTTTTCTGGCCACACAGGAACATTTGTTCTTATTTCTGTTGTTTGCTGAAATGTTGACTCGCTTGTGGTAACTCCCAGTGGATCCATTATGACTGACCAGTCTCATTCATGATGCATGCCGCTTGCCCGGTCTTTCAGATGACCCTAAATCTTTGTTGCAGGGCTCCTGCAGCGAAAACAGACATGCAGGATTCAGCAAGCGTAGATCAGCCGCCGCAAAAACAGTGCGGGCAGCCGACAGGGTAAGCAGAAAGCGGACCTTTTGCTGGTTTGTATTCAGCATTTTGAAAACAAATCCAACTCTTTTTCCCACCTTGTGTATAGTTTAACTAAAATACATCAGGAGCTTTCAGTCTGGAATATCTAGTCACTTTTTATCCCCATGCCAAACCCTTTGTTAGTCTGGGAGGAAGATAATTTAACTTGATGCACAACAGCAACATGTGCCTCAGAAATGCCAGTGAAAAATGCATTTTCACTTGAACTGACTGCTTTTTGGATATTCACTTCAGGACTAAACTCCTTTTAAAAAAAAAACAAAAAACCACCACACATTTGCTTATCTGTTTTGTTTTGTGAATACACTTTTAGGGCTGGTAAAAGCGATCAGATTAGCGGTCTTAAAAATCCCGAATCCTTCATTTACAGAGCAGGGACAGCAGTGCAAGCCTTCCTGTGCAGCCAGGTATCTTCAGTCTCTTGCAGTCTAGAGAGGAGTTTAGTGTCCATGATCCATTCAGTCCTTGGCTCCTCTGCTATTAAAGGGAACCAGTCTGTTGTGGGTTTTGTCAGGTGAGCCCTTCGCCTCCCTGGGACTTAATTACATCTGTCGCAGGTTTTTGTTAATCTGCTCCCAATCGTATAGTGGTAACATTTATCGGTGTCTTTTATAGGGCGTTTAACATAATGGTAGCAGGAGCATACAGTCAAACGGCTATAGTTACTAGGTATACTTAAATGGACACTTAGGAACTTGTGGCTGAAAACTGTAGGCCTGGTTCCTTACTGGTGCTGTTCTAGGTTTAAATTGGTGCAAAGCTTTGTCTTGATGGATACGTGAACGAGAGACACGTGACTGGGTAGTATACCCGAGTGGACGCAGGAGACTGCATCGATGGTCCCAGCACTTGAGTGCTGCTTTGTAGTGTGGGGAGTCTTGCCTCGCGGTGGCTGATCACAGGGGACAGTGACTTGAGGATGGATCTTCCCAGTGAATTCTGTAGTTTGGAGCTGATTGCTGCATGGTAGGCTAGTATATGGCTGATGATATGGAGTGGTGATCTGAATCCTTTCTACCAATTATAGTAGTACACGCACAGGCCCAAGATCATTGTATCAAAACTAGCTTGGGAAAAAGTAGCCTTTCTTTTCCCTGAGTGTACTCTTTTGTGCCATGTGGTTCATCGTGGCCTTGTGCTGGCAATTTCTCCCCCTTGTCTCAGTACCTTTTATAAACATCCGCAGACGAGGAGAAAAACTTCCACAAATATTTTGCGCGCAAATATTATTTAAAGAGTTCCCCTTCACACAACAAACTTGGAACAGGAATACGGAAGGAGCGTTTGATCAGAATCTGGCCTTGTTCCTAATTGAGTCTGTTTTAAAACAGTTGGAGTTGGCATTCCTCTTTAAACAACACACAAGGAGTTAGAACTGGCTTGGGCACAGAAAAGCAGTAGCTGCCTTCTACAGGGTGGGGTATTGTCAAGCTTTATGTATTTCATTTTTCCCCTCCTTTTCCTCTTTCCCCAAGGCAAATGGCAGTCCTTCCGGAATCGCAGTCTGTGCAGAATACAGCAAATGAACAAGAAAATGCAGGTATGTCATATCTTCCAAATGTGCTGTGTTCTGGCAGCCTCTTGTATTGGGTTACAGGGAGCAGCTTACAGACTTGACCTCTCTTCAGAGAGCGCTTGAGCTGCTGTTTTATGAGTTTTGGAACGAGGCATATTCTGTTCAGAGCAATGAATGTGACGTGTTTGCTAGATTGTAGTAGTTTCTGGATTGAAACTCCTGTGCACAATCCAGGCTTGAAGCCATGCTTCTTGTGAGGAAAATCTCACAAGTGCAGGAAATGAGCGCTCCAGGACAGTTAAAAATTAAAAAAAACTCAAAAAACCAAAACACTGATTTGCAGCTATAACCTATTCATCAACCTGATGCCCATTTACGAAGTATGCAGCAACAGCTGGTGGTAAAGCTGTCGTCTCACCAGCAGCAGCTCTCCTTCTGTTCCTTATCAGTGGTGACCCTTATCAGAGACCTGTAATTCTTTTTTTCTTTTTTAATAAATCCTATGGATGCTCATAAGAGGCAGTTTTGGTAGCTTGTTCCAGCCTTGAGGTCCCAGTGCTGTGATCCTGGAACATTAGTAACTCTTTGTGCTAAGTTTTGATGGATTCTTAAAATCGTTATCAGCTCCAGCCAGTGAAAATCCCTTCACCCTGAGGGCATCCTTTCATCTGTGGTGGGAGACGAACTGAAAAGTTACTCTGTCCACCTGGATCTTCACACTAGCCTGCCTGCTTTTTTTTTTTTTTCAGGTTCCAAAAATCTTGAGGAAGAGGAAGGTACTTTCAGCTCCCCGCTTATTGTTTTGCTGCAGCAGGAGCAAAAGAGGAAAGAGAGCCTTGGTGAAAAGAAGCCAAAGAAAGGGCTGGTTTTTGAGATCTCGAGTGATGATGGCTTTCAGATTTGCGCGGAAAGCTTTGAAGGTGAGAACAGTGGTTATTGTCTGCAGCTCTGAGTTTTCATTGCAAAGGTAAACGTATATATTTTGAGAAACAGATCTCTGCATCGAGCTTCCTCAAAATAAACTTCCCTTCTGTTTGACACACAGCTGTGGAGCAGAACCCTTAATGCTGGAGTGCCTGGTTTAGTTTAAATTCGTTGACCAATGGTATTGATATCTTTAGGATGGGACAAAACAAGTGATTAACATGGATTTGGCTTTATGGCCTCTGGGTACTGTTATGAAAAATCATAAGAACATCTGAGTTGCATTTGCATCAGACATTTATTGTTGCAGAGGGTGGAAGCTGTTAAGTGCAAGAGCAGTGAGCTCATGGCCTTTCACTGCAGTTCCCTCTATATTTGTCAGTGGGCTTAAGCACACCGCTGCAGGAGAGTCCCGCCAGATGCTCTTATGTGCTGCCTCTGTGTGCACATCCATCCTGCAGACAGCTGCGTGACCGAGTGAGGAGGGAAAGTCGAGAGGCACAGGAAGGCACCTGTTTCCAGGCTCTCTGGCTAAATGTGCATCTTCTCTTACTATCTTGGCTTTTATTCTGTCATCACAGATGCCTGGAAATCGCTGATTGACAAAGTTCAGGAAGCTCGTTCCAATGCCCGGCTGAAGCAGCTGTCATTTGCAGGTAGCACCTGAGTGCTTATGTCATTCCTTCTTTGAAAACCGGGGTGTTGTAAGAACAGAACAAACACAGGTTTGAGAGGATGTTGAAATGAGAAGTTTTCAGAAGAAAAAAGGCTGGTGGCGAGGAGAGAGCTTACTTCAGGTGGAGAAATGCACCTTTGTCAGCAAATATTGATTTAAGCAGGGACAACTCCTCAAGGTTTGTGTAAATAAGAGATCCAGTGTATCTGCAGCAAAAGTTATATTTGCGAGAAGGATGAGGTCAGTGACTTGGGCTGGTACTTATGCTGCTACTGATGCACTCACTTCTTTGCTGGTAAGAATGTAGTGCTTTTTGTTGGTGACACATGGAACAAGCTACTCCATGCTGAGAGAGACAGGCTTGTGGTACAAATCTTAGGCAATCTCATTCCCTTTTTAAGAAGATGCATGTATAGGAAAATTAAACTGTTTCTCTTAATAGACGGTGGCTGGCCAATTGGGTATTCATGGTCTTTTCCTTTGTTGCATTGTTTTCAAAAGCAGTGCTTATTTTGGTGTATTGTGAGACTTTGATCCAAAGTTGTTTAACACAGCAGAGGGACGTTTTCTCTCTGGAGATGTGCCAGTGTAAGAGTGAAGTGTACAAGAGAGATGCTCAAAGCTACCTTTTTTAATAAGGCCTGGTGTATTTTCTTACTGAAACAGGGGGAGGTAGATAACAGGGTCAGTCTGAAGTCAGGCAGAATTCAGGGTAGAGGTACACCGTAGACTAACTGAATCAGAGATGCATAAGGTTTTGTGAGCAAAAGGTGAATGTCAGATGCTGTGAAAGGAGCAGGCTATCAAATAGTGTGCGATTTCTTGAAGACTGCTTATACTCCTATAATAGGAGTTGGCATTCTGACCAGTGTAATCGGGTCAAAAATCCACCCTCTTGGAATTTTTCAGCAGTATCTTGAGGATGTTTCTTGCCGCTTTGACTGAAACAAGAGGTTTTTTAGTTTTTATTAGAACTAGTTAACCAAGTGGCAGGAGTTAAATCTAGTATGTCCACTAGTCTGTACCAGGCTGCTGGATTTTCCAAATGGCCTTGTTTCTTAGCCCTTTTCCTTTGTTCTCTCTCTAGGTGTGAATGGTCTGAGAATGCTGGGGATTATCCACGATGCTGTTGTGTTCCTAATTGAGCAGCTCTACGGAGCAAAGCACTGCCACAACTACAAGTTTAGGTTTCACAAACCAGAGGAGGCCAATGAACCCCCGCTGAACCCACATGGCTCTGCTAGGGCTGAAGTCCACCTGAGGCAAGTGGAGGCTTTGTGCTGGGCACGGTTTGCTAAATCCACTGGCTGGGTTGCAAGAGACTTTTCCTGGCAAACGGTAAAGCGTACACTATATTTACAACACGCTGTAAGCTTTCAGCAAAAAGTAACCAATCCTAGCACCTTCCAAATGTACGGTCAATGACAGGTCTTCCCAGATGCATACACCGCTCTCTTGCACGCTCCGTTGGCCTGGCTTTGCCAGGCAGCGGTAGACTAAAATTAGCAGAGTGGCCTAGCTTGCTACCCATTCATCCCTGGCAAATGATGTAATTGTTGCGTTGCTGCCTTACAAAGCTTCAGGCAGTGGAGGGTTGAGCACTCATTGAGAGCAAGCATTGAAGCAGGCTAGGCAAGAGAGAGGATAATAAGTAGGCATAGCTCTTGCAGCAGCCAAAACTACCAAAATGCTGTTGAAACAGGATTTTGAGTCACTTATTTGAATGCTTCTCGCTCCTTGAACCTTAGGAAGTCTGCCTTTGACATGTTCAATTTCCTGGCTTCTAAACACCGGCAGCCACCAGAGTACAACCCCAACGATGAGGAAGAGGAAGAGGTACAGCTGAAGTCAGCACGGTAAGCAGAAGGTTTTAAGACTCCCAAAAGAAAGGAGGCACGAGCTGGATAAAAAAACAGATCTCTTGATCTTATCTATTGCACCTTCTAGAGTGATATCACAACTTAAAATCTGCAGAGCACTAGAAAATAAGCTGTAGGAGAATTGTTCATTAGCAAAGGAACTGACTATCAAGGATGACCCAAAAGGCAAGTTCTTCAACTTTTATTTCCGTGCAACTACAAATTGTTTTGACCAGAACTTTGGAAGACAGGATGAATACATTTTTTCAGGACAGAGAACTAGCTAGAAGTAAGGAGTTGTCTGGGATAAGGGGCTAATTACAGACAGCATGCAAAATGTAAAGATCACGGTAGTAATCCTGGCTGCTTTCTCAGGGCACTTTGGTTTGCAGCGTCATGATAATGAAATGTTAATATTTTTTTTTTTTTAAACTATGCCAACTAACGCTTGGCTCTTAAATAAAGGTGATCACTTAATTGAGCCTTTCTTCTAGGAGGGCAACTAGTATGGACCTGCCAATGCCCATGCGGTTCCGGCACTTGAAGAAAACCTCCAAGGAGGCAGTCGGTGTCTACAGGTATGGTGCTTTCAGCCTGGTGCTTTCAGCCAGGGCCTCTGTCACAGGGGTGCAAAATTCAAAAAAAGAAAAAAAGAAACCATCCTAAAGTCTGCCTAGAATACTGGGGGGGAAGGAGGTTTTTCCTTCTTCCTTCTTCTCTTCCCTCTGTTTTCAGGTCAAAAATCTTTGAACAGCTGCTCCTTAGTACAAAGCACTTGTTCCCTCCAGCACGCTGTGGTAATAGCTCAGGCATTTATTCTGTGGGTGGGTGGGGAACCTGGTAATGCTCTGGGTACTACTGTATAATAGCAACAGGGTGAGGAGGTTGAATCCTTGGTCCCTTTTAATGAGGAGCACTAAAGTGTTCCTGATCTTAAACTGACAAATAGGATCAAGCTTCATTGCTGTTTCTTTTGCCAGGTCTCCCATCCATGGACGGGGCCTGTTCTGCAAAAGGAACATCGATGCAGGTGAGATGGTGATTGAATATTCAGGCAATGTCATTCGTTCCATCCTCACTGACAAACGAGAGAAGTACTATGACAGTAAGGTGAGTTATGGGCTTTCATAGGCATTTTTAAAAGGCACGATAAATCCCATTACCCCTGTTGTGAGTCGGAGGAAGCGCACCGAGGGGGAAACTGATGATTAAAGCCTTTAATGGGGATCATGAAACTAAAGCCTTGTCTAATTCTGATACGTGCATACACCAAGTTTGTGGAGTCCTAGAGTTTCCATTGTATTTGTCTTCAAAGAAGTATTCCTTGTGGCGCTCCGTAGGGTAGGGGAATGTAGACAGAGAGATGAAAGCAGAGGAGTTAAACTCTCTCGCCAGGGGCACAGAGGGTTTTGGTACCATAGCCAGGATCAGAGTCAGCAGGGTTTTGGGCTGCTCTTTCTGTGTTGGCCCCTAGATGATGATGAATTTTGCCACGTAAATTGTAGACACGAAACAAAAATAGAAATTCTGATGTCTGCTTTGGAGAAAATCTAAAAATGTAAATGCTCCTTGCTTGGCTGTTTCTCCTGTGTACAGCAGTAGTTTTTTTTTTTTTTTTCTTGAAGCCTCTTTTCTTATCAGTCTTGCCAGATAATAGTTTCTCGGGTCGGAAGGGACCTGAGCAGATCACCTAGTCCAACCCCCTGCCGTGGCAGGAAGATGTTAGGAAAGGAATGCTAAAGCTAACTTAGTGGTAGGAAAGGGGAAGGGTGCACATCTGTGAGCCTCAGGTGCTTTTTGATGGAGCTCAGACATGGTTCTGGTGACTTCAGAACAAACTACTTCCAACGCAGGCTAGCATGATTAACTCCAGGAGGCGTTTGCAGAGGCTGGGCCCGAATCCTTGCTGGACCTTGTCCAGTGCAATTCCGCGAACATAAATGTCTGTGGATGCAAGGGTGGGGTGAAAGCAGTGCAGGCTTCCGGAGATGTAGGAACTGCAGACGACTGTTTAGAGTTCCCGTTTTCCGAAGGGATTCCCAGATTTTTCCAGCACTTCCTTGACTTCCTCCAGGGGGTTAGGAAATGCCTCAGCCTGCATCAAAACCACAGATTATTGAGAGGACACGGGAATGAAATGACTTAGACAAGTGTCTTAAAAACAAGGTAGCAGCTAGCGTCCAGAGGGGATTGTGGGCCCACAGAGACCTGGACGCTAGATGGTTGGCTGTCATGACAGGAGCAGCGTCCAAGCAGGGAACTGGGCTCTCGGCTCCCCTGAGCTCTAATGGCCTCTCTCTCCTCTAGGGGATTGGCTGTTACATGTTCCGTATTGACGACTCTGAGGTGGTAGACGCCACCATGCACGGGAATGCAGCCCGCTTTATCAACCACTCATGTGAGCCCAACTGCTACTCCCGGGTCATCAACATTGATGGCCAGAAACACATCGTCATCTTCGCCATGCGCAAAATCTACCGTGGGGAGGAGCTCACTTACGACTACAAATTCCCCATCGAGGATGCCAGCAACAAACTGCTCTGTAACTGCGGCGCCAAGAAGTGCAGGAAGTTTTTAAACTAGAACTTTTGTGAGCTGCAAGTGAGCCCTGAAGGGCCTGGGGTGAACCAAAGCTACAATGCATCCCTGCCCCGGTCTTTGCAAGGGAAAGGGGGGACAGAGACCAGAATGAAGATGGACTGGGCTCGGGGACCTAAGTGGTGGCTGTACTTCTCTGTTGGAGTCCACATCTTCATGTCTCACATGCGCACACTTACCTTTATGAAAGACACGGGCGATCGGAGAAGATCCTCAGTAGGATTGTGTTGCTTTTCCCAATGCCCTCTTTCTCCCTCCGGCATTTGTTTGTTTTGCTGAGATTAGCGAGTGGGAGAGGGAAGGAAGTAGATATGAATGGAAACGCGCCCAGACCCAGCTGCAGACAGCGGTCTCTGATCTAGTCTCAGCTCAGCATGATTAATCTGCTGGGAGCAGGAATGTGGAGTTTTCAGTTTCCTTTGCTTGCTGTGTCATAAGTTTAGAAAAGAAAAAAAAGCACAGGATTTGGCTGGGCTTTTCTCCTAGGCAGAGACTGTCCCACCAACCGGCTCCGGTACAGTCTTTTGAGTCTCTGTTGTTCCGTCTGCTATGCATCTCCAAAACACTATTGTTGAGCTGCCTGGGACCTGTCCTTGTGCGGCACGGGTGGCCCAGCGCATCGCTTTGGCTTGGGCTGTTCTCTGTTGTGGGGGCAGGACAAATGGCAGCAGCTTGCGAGAGAACCGAAAAGAATTTCCCTCTGAAATTCCTGCACTTGCATAAAAAGAGTCCTGGCTGCGTGTAGGGGAGGGAAGCAGAGGGCTCGTGCTAACTTGTTACCAAGGGGCTTGTCTGCTCAGGGTTTCCAGTGCAGACTGTAAACCTCTGGGGCAAGGCTCTTCTCACTTCAGCAACACCCCTGTCCCCTTCCCCGCATTCCTGCTTTCAGAAATGGGCCCTCTCCCTCCTTGAAGGAGCTGAAGGCTCTTCTAGTTGCACTGAAATGCTAGAGGCCCACCGCGTGCCCCGGGCCAGCCCAGGAGGCAGAAATCTGTGGGCAAAGGAGGATAACTGGCTGCTGTTCTGCGTTGGGAGCAGTCCTGGTAGCGCTCCAGGGCAGACCGTGGGAAGAGCAGGTGCAGAGGCTTCAGCAGGAGAAGCTCAGATCAGATGACTTAAATAACATAGTAGGATACGAATTGGGCAAATGAGCGATTTCTCTAGACACCTTCCTCTGATCCGTTTCTAGGATACAGTTACTTCGTTCTCCCCCGTCAGGCATAGGAATAAGCACCCAAACTGAGTATAAGTGCTCGCTAGAAATGCAAAGGCAAACACTAACCACTTTCAACAAATACTTCTGTTAAGGTTCAGCTGTTTAGGAGACGAGTTTGTCGTTGCCGCAATTTAAATCCTTTTACTGAAACTGAAATAGCAAACCCACTTCTAAGAGCAAAACTGAATGACACTATTGTCCTGGTCTAAGCAGCATAACCCTATCCTGTTTGGGTCTGCTCCACGCCTTCAAAAGAATTTAAAATTAAAAAAAAAAAAAAAATCCCCGGACCTGCTAAATTAAGTCATTGGATTTTACTGTTCTGTTTACAGTTGAGTATTTAAGATTTTATAAATGTAAATATATTTTGTATATTTTTCTATGAGAAGCACTTCATAGGGAGAAGCACTTATGATGAGGCTATTTTTAAACAGTGGTATTATCCTAATTTAAGAGAATCGGGTTTTAATGATTTTTTTATTTTCATAGGACGATTATAGGAAATATCTGGGTGGACACAGTCTGATCCTTCAGAGAGGGGGTTCTTTTTGATTTTTATCTGACTCTTAATCTTGTTCTGCCTTGTTGACTTAAGTAACTGTTTCCTGGAAGCAGTGGCTGGACCGTAATCGTATGTAGACTTGTTGAGGTGGGGACAGAGGGAAGAATTGCCCTACTCGGGAGGAATTTGACTTTTTGGAAGTTTTTTTTTTTTTTTTGGTACAGTTCTCCCATCCCCTGAGCAGAAGGCGACATGATTCTGCCTGCCATGTGGCAGTGCCCTGCCCTAGGCGAGGAGGAAGGGGAAGGGAATAATCCTCAGTGTCTTCTCACGTTCCAGCCTTTTGGTTCAGGACTCAGAAGGATGAATTAACGCCGCAGGAAATGTGGATTTCCTATCCCGCTCCATCTGCTTGGATCTTGCAGAATGGACATCTCTTGTCGATTCTGCCGAGATGCTGGCTGAGCGCGAGCGGTCTCTGCGGCTCCGGCGGGGTTGCTGCTGCTTAGCCTCCGGAGTGCGCCGAGTAGCAGGGAAGGTCCAGTCTCCCGTCACTCACCACGCTGTCCTGAAAGGAGATGCACTGAGGAGAGGTTTGGAGTGGGTTTTCCCCGTTAGGAAAATTTCCAGCTCTCCAACCATGAAACCGCGGTCCTGTGGAAATGTAGTGAAGCGGTAGCACCCCAGCCCTCGGCCTTGCTTTTGTTCTGGGTTAGCTGCGGTCTGGGACTCGGGCTCATGCAGGCGCTTGGCCCAGAGCGCCCGTGTCGTGGAAATGAGTGCTTTCCCTTTGTGATGTGCCCGTTCCAGCCGGTCCCGTGGGCAGGCGCCTGCCGTTCGCAGGGTTAGCAGAGTCGGAGGCTGTTGTGCCTGCGGAAAGTGGCCAGCACTGATTGATAACTCCTTAAGGCTCCCTGCTTAGCACTCCTGACCTGTGCCATCCAACCCCAAAGACCTCTTCCTCTGACGCGAGAAGGAATGGCGGCACTCAGAAGGGTCAGGAATGGCTGGTTTCCTTTGTTTATTGCACTGTGTGATTATTTCGTAAACATTTTCAAAGGAGAAATCACATCAAAGCTGCGTTGGCTATCGAGACGAATTGATGCACTGACAGTTTGGGCACGCACGCACACAGAGGCCCAGAAGCTTGTCTGGGGAAGCCTCGGCCCTGCGTCCGCAGATGCTGCTCTTGATGGCAGCGTGCGGGGACGGTCCCGACGCGGGGTACACCCACGGATTTTCAATTTCAAAGTAGTTCAGTCCAGTCTTGCTCTCCTTCGCCCTCCACTGTTTCCCTTGGTCTGGCAGAGTGCGAGGCAGTTGCTTTAGCTGACCAAAATCCCATTCTTGTCTCCTGCCAAACTTCTGTTTAGCTCCCAGCTGCCTGATCAGCAAAACAGTCCTCACCAGAAACCCATGCTGAGAGGGAGCTCGAATCAGGAAACACTCTGCCCCAAGCCCCTCTGAATTAGGAAGGGGACAACCAAGTGAAGGAGCAAATGGGAGCGATGCGATGCCACCCGAGTGCCCCTGAGAACCAGACCCCAGGAATTACCTCTGCTGTGAGGGTGGATGGAGCAGCCGGATCCGGTGGAGATCCGGCTCACTGAATGCTTTGCTGCTATACCTGTTGTGGCTGCCGTTCCCCGGGAGCCGCTGTGGCCAGTGAAACTGTCTGTAAACCAGAGAAGCTGAATTGTGCTGACCTGCAGGCTGGGCTGGCGTCCCCTGGGCTCCCCCTCCACTGTTGTCACCAGTTTGTCTAGCACCGAGGTGTTTGTTCATGTAGGATTTGAAACGACAGCAGGAAGGTGGGCAGGAGCCTTGGCAGCTAGCATTTGTTTCCAGCGATTCGCGTCAGCTGAGCGCCCCGACCCTGTCCTGCTCAGCTAACAGTGAGCACAGTGCAGCTTCCCAGTATATGAATGTATATTTTATAAGGACTGACATAGATCATGATATCTGAAAATACTAAAAGTCAAATTTTAAGGCGTTTATTTTTATTTGTACAAACCAAGTTTTTTTTTTTTGTGTTTGTTTTTTTCGTTTGTTTGTTTTTTTTGTTTGTTTTTTTTTAAAGGAAAAGCGGGTCATTGCAAAGGGCTGGGTATAATCTTTTTTTTTTTTTTTTTTTTTTTTTTTTTTTT